TTAGGGCTCCCCTCAAGTAGGCGAGCTTGAGGGTGGCAGCCATATCTGCACCTACGGACTGCAAGTTGCTGCTTTGATCTTCAACATTGACGGGGATCCGGCTGTGTACTTTGGGGTAGATGTTGACCCTCCTAGATGATAGGACACTAGTGTAGAGGATGCTAATTGGGTCAGGAGGACTATGTGAGAGGGGGGTGAGCTTTTCATCTCAAGAGCCCGACCACTCAGGTAAGTGTCGTGCCACCAGGGTGCCCATGTGTGTGTGCGTGGAGTTGACTGCCTGTTGGGTTCTCTAGGTTCTTCTTCCATCCTCCATAGTCTTGATTGTGTGTGAGGTGTGTGAACTGCCTACTCACCTGATGAGGGAATGGATGGAGTATCTTGTTTGCTATGTGATATCTCTCTACAGTGCTTTGTTTATTTCATTCTGAACGGCGGTAATCTACAGGTTCTTTTGGGGGCAAAATTTCGTTTTTCAATTCAAGTAGGGACAGAGTAGGTCTCCGTGGAACTCTTGTTGGTTAGGACCCGGTTCTGACTCCACTGGGACCATTTGGGACTCAGTGGGATCGGGCCCAAACAAAAAGGGCCCCTCAGGCCAAATCTGTTGACGTCAGTTACCTTGCTCTATCTGATTGGGCTTTATGCTTTCGGACCAGGACACTCGTTGCGGAGGGGATCTCCGCTGGGACGTTTTATCAGACTTTACCGCACAATCCGCCGCCTTACTCGCACCTTATACACCACTCAATTCTCTAGCATTTCGTTGTACATCTTGAATCTGATTTGCTGTGTTTTCACGGAGCTGAGGCTGGCTAGGCTTGGGAGGACCCCATACGTAGTCAGTCCAGACTGTGTGGCTGGATCAGATCTGTCTGATCTTTTCTTTTTTAGTTGTTTTGACTGCCCTCCAATCCAAATGAATTGCCGCTCCGGCTAAGAGTTTCAGACTGTGTGGCTGGATCAGATCTCTCTGATCTTCTTTTCTGAATGATTTCAAGCTGCTTCCTTTATTGGGTTTTTTAATGCCTGCGTCACACGATCGCAAACGAGAGAGAGAGAGAGAGAAGATAGAAGTTATTGAGTGTTGCTCTTGAGGGAGTGAGGAGAGGGAAGAGGAGTGTTCGTCGTAAAGCTGAGAGGAAGTACGGACCCCTCTTGAGAGTCTTACTGACACCCTCATCCTCCATCATGGCATCTGCAGYAGATTGGAAACTGCAGATGGATGCTACCCCTGAGTTAGAAAAAACGCAGTATCAGTTCTTCTACGAGAAAGCCTTGAAGAGGGAGGAGGAAGAGAAAGAGAGAGAAAGAAGGGATAAGGTGCAGGCTCACGAGGCCGTCCTTAGCACCGTGTCCGCTCTGATTGATGAGGAGGTAGAAGAGAAAACGGTTCCCCTCCTCAGAGCCTTAGCAGGGGTCCGGGTTGCTGAGGACCATATTGGCTAAATCGCACAGGTGTTTAAGCAACTCAAGGAGTTGCGCGAAGACATGGTCAAGATGGCGCAGCAGCACCGCGATCAGATGCAACAGTTTGCTAGTTCGCAGCAGGCTCAAATCGTCTCTTCACTCACCTACCCTGCCTCCAATGCTGCATGTCAGTCCAGTTTTGCCCCACTGACTACGTTTACTTCTTCTCCTTCTACTTCTTCTTCTTCTTTGAGTGTGGTTAACAGCCAAAGCGGATCTGCAGCAAGTCCAGACCCTGCTGCTGCTGCTGCTGCTGCAGCGGCAAGTGGTGGTGCAGGGACTTCTGGAACTGTTGCAGCCCCGGGTCCGGACCCAGCAATGGTTGGGCCGGGCAACAACTTTGCTTACCTCGACAGGAAGGCGGCAGAAATTTCGTCCAAGTATGACGGAAAAGACGACGTCGAGTCATGGATCAACACCATGCGGTCCTACTTTGATGTGTTGGGGACACCCCCAGTCACTCAGTCGTCGGTCCTTGGGACCAATGTGGAACCCGCCGTGAGAGGATTTCTAGAAATCCAAGTTGTACAAGCAGGCTATAAACGTATAGACCTGAACAAATGGCTGAAGGCTACGCCTGTAGCCACACTTGAGGATCTCTTGATTCAACAGTATGCCGATCCACATGCTGCAGCAAAAGCAAGACTTAAGCTTGATAAACTCAAGCACAACAAGTGGACTGGCACCATGCAAAGTCTGCAGCAGTATGTCAGTAAGCTCTTTGCTACTCCCAATTTGGAAATAACTGCACAATCTTGCTTGGATGTGATAAAAGCAACGGTCCCCTCTGCTGAAATTCGTCGCCTGGGCCTCAAACTCGCGGAATATACAAATTGGCTTTCCCTCATGCGGGATATAGTCAAGCTGGAGGCACAAGACCTCCTGGGTGGATCGAGTGGCAAAAGAGCCCTTGGTCGCAAACGGTTTTTTGGCAGCAACCGTTTAGCAGCACACGATCTGCTAGAGGATGACGAGGAGATCCTCGCAGACAACCCTTCTTTTGATGACCATCAAGAGCAAGGTTGTGAGGCATCATGCTCTTCGTCAGCCCACGAGTCTGAGTTGGTGAATGATGAGGAATCCATGAATGCCTTTAAGAAGACTGCCTTTAAAAACAAGGGACCGAGGACCACAATGAAGAACAACACTAACACTATCCTTCTTCCCAAGGGAGCAAAGATTCCACCTAAACCGGAAGATCCTGCCACAAAATCGTGGGTAGATTTCCGGATCAGTGAAAGTGAGTGGAAGAACAGGTTAAAGAGAGGGGTTTGCCTGCATTGCACCAAACCAGGACATTCAGTCCAACACTGTTTCAGATTGCAGCAGAGAAACCAGCAACGGGGGTAGAGGCATCATCAGCACACTCTACGGATGGAGAGGCTGAACATGTGAGTACAGATTCTTCTTTGGATTCTGATCCCACTCAGCAAACCTCTCCTGAAACCCCATCTGATGCTGATTCCAAGGCTGAGAAGATCCATATCCTGTACCAGGAGCCTTGGGTAGAGCCGGAAGAAATTGACTTCCATGCTCTGTTGACACGCTGGGCTCACATGAAGCAAGAACGCGCGCAAGGGAGGATGAAGCTGATTTTCTTCAAACTCTACATTAATGGCCGTTACATCCGTGTGTTGGCTGATTGTGGCGCAACCGCCAACTACTTCTCACCGCACGGCATTCGTAAGGCACTCTTGGGGATGAAGCAAGTGACTTTGCAGAATCCTTGTCGGACCCAGGTGGGCAACCAAGAGGTTGTCACTTCTACGCATGCAGTCAAAGGTGTGCGCACTACCTTTGACGCTGATCGCATTATTACGCATGAGTTGAACTTCTATGTCCTTGATCAGTGCCCCTTCGACGCGGTTATTGGCTTGGGCTGGTTGCAGGCCCAATGTGAAAGAACCACGTGGAAGTACTCACAATTCATGGTCAAAGATGCCACGGGAATCGAGCGTCCAGTCCTCTTGGATGAGCCGCGCGAGTCCCAAATAACCATTCTCAATGCAATGCAGTTCTGCAAAAAGTGGCGCAGGCTCAAAACTGATGAGCAAATGTATATAGCCTTTGTTAGGCCTGCTCATGTGCCTTCAATTTTTGTTGTACATAACGACTTTACTTTGCATGCTGTTTCTACTTCTGAGGCAACTACTTCTACCTCTACTAAATCTACCTCTAGTCCAAATGATTCCACCTCCAATCCTGTTGTGTTGGCTATACCTATGCCATCTAGTATGCTTGCACCCGAGAGTGATGATCCACCTCCGAAGATCCCAACAGAAATTCGCAACCTTCTCAACCGATTTCCAGAAGTCTTGGCCGAACCGCATGGAGTCCCCGTGCGTCCGGTCCGACACAAGATCGAGTTGATCGAAGGTAGCACTCCTCCAAAGGGTTGCGTCTATCGTATGGGCTCAGGCGAATTGGAGGAGTTGCGACGGCAGATTGATGATATGATTGAGAAGGGATGGATCAAACCAAGTGAGTCTGAGTTTGGTGCACCGGTGCTGTTTGTCCCTAAGAAAGGAGCTAAGTTGCGGATGTGTATTGACTATCGCGTGTTGAATCGGATCACGAGAAAGAATGCATATCCTTTGCCACGTATCGATGATTTGCTTGATGCTGCAGGTGGGTGAAAAGGCTTCAGCAAGATCGATCTCAAGTCTGGCTACCACCAGATTGAGGTCGAACCTGCAAACCAGCACAAAACTGCATTCAAGACTCGCGATGGGCTGTACGAGTTCACAGTCATACCCTTCGGTCTCACGAATGCACCAGACACCTTTCAAAGTCTCATGGATAAGGTATTTCGCAATCAGATCAATCGATTTGTTGTTGTATATTTGGATGACATACTAATCTTCAGCAAATCGATGGAAGAGCACATGAGACACCTTGAGGAAGTGATGCAGATCCTCAAGGACGCGCAGCTCCATCTCAACTTGGAGAAATCTGAGTTTGGGAGGGACAGCGTCATCTACCTTGGACATCGGTTGTCTGCTGCAGGCCTAGAGCCCGAGGCAACCAAAGTTGAGGTCATCCAAAAATGGCCCCAACTTGCGAATGTCCGCGAGCTGCGTTCTTTTCTTGGTCTTGCGTCATATTACCGTAAGTTTGTGCCTAAGTTCTCTATCATCGCCCGTCCGCTGTCTAGACTAACAAGCAAGAATGTGTCCTACGCATGGAATGAAGAATGCACGACAGCCTTTGAAGCATTGAAAGAGGCTTTGGTGAGTCATCCGGTACTCCGCATTGCGGACCCCAAGCTTACATTCGTAGTAACTACGGATGCGAGTTTGTATGGGATTGGTGCGGTGCTGCAGCAAGATGATAGTGATGGCTTACGTCCGCTTGAATATTACAGCAAACGCATGCCCAGCCACAAGGTAGCCGCTTCCACCTACATGAGAGAGCTTTATGCCTTGAGAGAGGCACTAGACCACTGGAAGCACTACCTCTTGGGTCGTTATTTCAAAGTGTTCTCAGACCACGAAACTTTGAAATGGATTTAGACACAGGTTAACCCATCAACCACATTGACTAGATGGCTGCATGAGATTGATGTGTATGATTTTGAACCCAAACACAAGAAAGGCTGCTATAATCGTGTTGCAGATGCTTTGTCTCGCCGCCCCGAATATATGACTTGCATTGTGGGTTCCTATGACCTTCGTAAGAATCTGAAAGAGGAACTCATTGAGCACACTGCCAAGGATCCGGAACTCAGTCCCATCCTTGAGCAGATTCGGGCTGACCCTAGTAGTCAGCCTGATTTCCATGAATGTAAGGGCCTTCTCTTCCGACGCTACGGTAAGCATGACCGGTTGTGTGTACCGTGTACCCAATCATGAGCCAATCATTACTCACTTCTTGGATTTGGCTCATGGCCGGAGTGGACATTTCGGTGTTGAGAAGACATACGGGAATCTGTTGGAAAATTTTGTGTGGCCTGGTATGAAAAGAATGGCGCAAAGGTTTGTGGCTGAGTGTGAAGTTTGTCAACGCATTAAACCGTCTCGGCAAAAGCCTTATGGGCTGCTGCACCCTCTTCCTATTCCTGACGGTCCGGGGGAGTCTGTTTCTATTGACTTCACGGACATGGGGAAGAAGAGCAGAAACGGTTATTCCCAAGTTATGGTGATTGTCRATCGTTTTTCGAAGTTTTTGAATCTGATYCCACTACCACCTCACGCCCCAACTGACCTTGTKATCAAAGAGTTTCACAAAAGATACATTCTGCAGTGTGGGCCCCCGAAAACTCTTGTGAGTGACCAGGACACTAGGTTCATAAGCGCAGAATGGAAGGACTTCACCTCCCAGGTCTATGACATGAAACTCAAGATGACATCTAGTCGACATCCCGAAGGCAATGGACTGGCCGAGGAGATAAACCAGACTGTGATCCAACTTCTTCGAGCCTTAATTGTGCCTGATCAGAACTCTTGGGATGAGGAATTGCCGAATGTGCAAGGGTTGTACAACAACTCCATCCACTCCTCCACCGGTATGACTCCTAACCGGCTGCATCTTGGATGGAAAATTCGCAATCCTCTATCCTACCTGTTCCCTGAACAGCCTCGTGGTTTGACACCTGGCCAGCCAGGCTACAGCGCTAAGTACGATCGGTTGCTCAAGGTTGCTGTCGCAGCTATGGAAAGGCGACGCAGTGCCATGATCAAACACGCAAACAAGAAGCGCCAGCCTACGCCTTTCACAGTGGGAAGTTATGTCTGGGTCAAGATGTCTGAGTTCTCCGAAGAGGAGGGTGTGTCAAGAAAACTTCTCCCTCAGTACTACGGTCCGTGGAAGGTCTTGAACCAGGTAGGGAGTGATTCTTTCGATCCTTCTTACATGATTGATGTGCCTTTGCACCTGCGCACATACCCAGTCTTCCACGCATCAAAGTTGTTTCCGTATGAATCACCTGAAACTTTCAAGTATCGAGAATCAATGATTCCCCGCACAATCAATGGCGGTCATGAGGTTGATAGGATTGTCGAACACAGTGGGAAAGGAAGAAACACACAGTACAAGGTCCATTTTCTGTACCATCCGTTGGACGATTTCTACTGGATTGCTAAGAAAGACTTACTACAGAGTGCACCGCGTGTTGTGAACGCCTACGAACGATTGATAAGCTCTGAACAGCAACCAAAATTCACTGCTACCCTGACTCCTACATAATTCACCCGATCTCTCTTCGCTATCTACGCCTACGATGCATTGTGCAAGGACTCTGAATGAGTTACTCGCTCGAAGGGACCTCGCTTTTGAGGGGGGGGTAGTGTAATGACCCGTCAAAACACAGACTGAGAACACCGCTGATTTCTGAAGTTCTGCCGATGGAATGGATGCCTTGATGATATTCCCGCATTCTGCTGTGTTTTCTAAGTCTGTCTGTGTGTGTGCTTGTGACCTGCATGCCTGTCTGAGTGCTTGTTGATATGAGTGTGTGTGGGACCCGCAAAGGTACTTGCTTGTTTGGTAGGCCCGTAGGGACGGTACTTACCTGTGGCCGTGGCATCGAGGGTTGTAGCAGGGAAAAACACTCAAGTGGCGAAGCTAGCGGCCGGGAGGCCCTTCGGGTAGGGGAAAAACACTCAAGTAGGCCGGTAGGCCGATACTGCACCCCACTGCAGTTGGCGTGAGGGGTACAGGAGGCCGAGCAGAAAAAGACAAAGTTGGCATTTTTAGAGTCCAGTAGCGGTAGGGTAGGTCTAGGCCAGTACCAGTCCAACCAGTCTGAGTGTAGAGCCTGTACGGGTAATATCAGGGTCTGCAATGATGTTTCCCTCCGAAACGGAGGAGGTACCGGTTGCTTGGAGAGGCCGAGCGGCCTGGAAGTCACCGCCCAGGAGGCAAGTAGGCCGCTATATCAAGAGGCAGGTGGGAGAGCCCAGCCTCATTCTTCAGTGTGCGAGTTGGGCGTCACGCTGTTGGAGCGCTAGGTGGAGGAGCGTTGGGCTCTACAGCGCTGCTGGGAGGAAGAAGCCGGGAGCTTCCACCTTGGCTATGGTGGAGCTCGGCCGGTAGGAGGAGGAGGGAGAAGGGGACCAAGGAGGGGAGTGGTAGGGTACTTACCTGGCTATGGTAGACACCATCTTCATCTCCTTGCTAGGCGTTGCATGAGGAAGGCCCCAGTGGGGGTAGTGCCGCATCAAGGAAGATCGGACAGAGTCAGGCATGGCGGTTGAGTGGGCAGCGGCATAGCTGTTGGGTGATGACCTGGAAGAAGGGCAGCGGTGTAGCTGCTTGGGGTTGTCCTTTGTACCGGAGGTTGAAACCTCCGTAGTCCGCCATAGCCTCGGCCTATATGTGGAGGAAGAAGAAGGGCTGCCATGGCTATGGTGGACCTCATCTTGTGCCTGCAGTAGAAGTGGGATTCGGACATTGATTCTGGTTCAGCTGTTCAACATTATTATTGTTTATTTATTGTTTGAATAAGAGAGGAGGAGATAAAGAGGAGGTTGAGCGAAGAAGAAGAGCTTTGTCTTTGGTCTATGCTGGAATACATCATCTCTTTCTTCTTTCTTAATTCTTCTTCTTCTTCTTTCCCTCTCTCTCCTCTCAAGTTCTTTCATTTCTTTTGCAGTTGGACGGCATTGGGCTCAAGTTCATTCATTTCTTTTCGCAATTGGACAACATTGTACTTTTTGATGATTGTGGACTTCAAAATTGGCCAGGATCGTAACAACCTGATGGTTCCCTGCCTCCGGAACTCCACCTGAGTTTCGTCAGAGCTCCCGCAATCGGTGGGCAGTCTTAATGCGGTCCTACGGGTTTCAATCCCGCCTGCCGCCTTCCTCTCAGAACAAGATTACACTTAGAGCAAGAAGGGCAGAAGAAGAAAGTTTGAGTCGCTCAGATACCATAAGGGTGCTCTCAGACTCGCGCGAGAGGGGCTTGTTTCCTTGACTCGCCTGAGGGCCCCGCAATGGCAGCTGAAATGCGCCGTAGCCTGGTTAACTGAAGTCATACCACCGAAGTCAATCCTCTGACGACCTCCCAAATCGTAGCACTAATTCCTTGACACCCCTCCACATTCGCACCGGCGACCCCTCAACAAACTCAGCCACTCCTTAGAGCTTCGTGGCCCAGCATGCACTGGCCACAACTCATGATACCGCCTGTGGCTTAAAAACATCGTCTTCTTCCACGCTGTGCTGCTGCAGCAGGGTAGTCCAATCAACCTTGCAGCAGACTGAGTGTGCACACTTGGCTGTGCAGTCCTTACCCGAGCCTGGCCAGCGTTCGCCCTATGGTTGGGCTCTCACTACTTCACTTTGCAAGATTAGGCAGCACATCGACAATTAGGTAGGTCTTCAACTGTATGACGGCTACCTGATCTTCACGACAACGCCTACTTTGATGGTCTGACAAGCTCGATGGGTAATTCTCGCGTCGCTTGTCACTGCTCACCGAATGAGCATGGATAAGGGTAAATCTTCAACCAACGGGAGGCCAGATTCATAATCGTCGGCAACGTCCTCCTCACCAACACTCGGGGCAGTCTGACATCTTAGGCCGGCTGTTGATTCAAACCGTAGCACCAGTTCTACTTACCAAAGATGGCTCAATCAGCACGCAGTTTGGCACCGTAGCTCGACAGGGCAAGCGGACCAGCTGGTCGGCAACCGACGAGCAGAGCGCAAGGCAACATCCATAACCAGGTCACACCGCACAATGAACTCATCAACCCGCAAGGAATCACATGCGAAGCAAGCGGGACACAGGCAGCAGGGCAGCGACGGAGCGTAGACGAGGACGCTCACACATCCAACACGCATTGAGCAACACTCGACCTACTCATGTCACGATTGAATCCCGCAGGCTGTTGGTCCCCACCATCCATTGAGCCAGGGGGTCACTCCGACAAACCTCCGTCATCACCTTGCTTTGTTTCTCCCTCACCCTCCCGGCTTACTCAGATGTCAAGTCCGCCCGCGACGCTACGCCCGCCTGCTTGATCCAAGGCCAGGTTCTCTTTCACGGTACACCCAGCTTCGACTTGAGTGGTCGAAGCACGACGGGCCACAGTCTACTACGATTACAACCGCTACGTCCTGGTAAGTTCCCGATCCGCCCCCCCTTTCTCCTTAACGGTTCCTTCATTAGAATCCGACCATACATCCTGAGCCTTGAGTTTAGAGATACTATTTCCAAGCGTTAATATAGACGAACAAGAAAATAAAGGAAACAAAGTAGCATAAAAAAAAAACAAAAATGAATCTATCATATGAAAGCGGCCAAATACATGAAACTTCGCACTCAATGCTCTGCAGGCGCAGGTCCTGTCTGTGGAATCCCAAAATCTACCCACTAACACTAGAAACTAACCTCATAATCTACCTCGCAGCTACTAAGAGCTCCTGTTCACCACTTTATCTCGCTCGATTCCATTAAGAATTGAGCGAAAAATCTCTTTCCCGCTTCTCTTCCTCGACCCTTCTCTCCATATCCCGACGCAGCACCTTTATGTACTAACCTCCTTTTTACTAACTTTCTGTCCAATCTAACTTCAGAATCGAATTCGCCAGTCCCCAAAACCCCGACTTATAATCTCCTTTCACTCAATTATATCAAGAATCGAGTGAAATCTCGATTCTCCTGTCCCCATCGTCTCTCCTTCCACCATATCGTGCGCACTAACTCTTCTTTCTAACTCCTACAACACTAACCTTTCACTAAAACTATCCTCAAATTCGAATTCACCCACCTCAAAAACTTTGGAATCCTCTCTTTTCCTACTTGATTCCATTATAATTCGCACATATTGTCCGTTTCTTTTCCCGCCGTGTCCACTTCCCGCTATCTCGGTTTTCCTTCATCCATAACGCTGAATGTACTTGGTGCACCCTGCGTCCAGGTTCTTTCCCATTTCCCTTACTGCCTTCCTGCTCCTCACTACCGACGCCCCCGACAGCATCTGTTTTTTTCCTCTCTCTATAGACTACATCCTTTGCTACGTCCGGCGTCCGCCCTACTCCTCTTTACCTTCTTTCGACCCTTTACCCCGACTTCCCCAGCCTACTTTCACTCATTGCCTCGCTCGCCACGCTTGCCGGTTTCCCCTGCTGCCCATCTCTCTCTGCCTTGCTATTCTCACCACCGGTCACCAAGCGCCTTAGCGCAGCGACCTTTCTATCTGCCCCGGCTTCCCCGTCTGCTACTGCGTAGCGTTGCCCGACCGTGATGCTACCAGCTGGCACAGTGACTGGCCTATCGAAGAAGCCCGACCCTGATGCTACCAGCTGGCACAGTGAGTGGCCTATCGAAGAAGCCCGGCCCTTATGCTATCGGCTGGTACTTGGCCGGTATCGCCCACCTGCTGGAGGGTGCAGTACCCGCATGTTCCCTCGTTCCGTACTCCCTCCGTCCAGTCTTACTCCCTCGTCTGCAGTCTCCCTTCCTACTAACCCCGACTCTCTCACGACTTCATTCCATCTGCGCTTTGGCTGAGCTAAGGGAAACTTTGGGGGAGACCAAGTTTCGACCGGCTCAGACAGCCTGTCGCCCATATACCTTGCTCACGTGCGGCCCGTCCACAGTAATACTGCGGGTTTTCCCCTTAGCGCCACAGACCCTCGTCAAGCAGGACCGTGGACTAGGGCAGGGCAGTCGGATGGGTATCGATTGACACAGCCCGCGAGATGGTGCTTATAGAAGCCTAAGCCCACTTGGGAGCACATGGCAACTCCCTGCTGGTCCGACCAGCCCGATAACAGGTGGTTTCTGAAGCGCGCGGCCCATACACGATAGCCTTGGCGGCCCTAAATGCACCGACTGGAAGGAAAGCGCTGGACCTATCGCGAAATCGGACG